AATATAATTATGATTAGGCCGAAACATTAGGTGGAGGTTGTAAATCAGGCATCTTGAAGCGAAAAATAAAAAATAAATTAAACGATAAGTAATCTATTTAAATGTTAGATGGTTAAAAATTCATTTTATACTTTATGCAGCGTCCAGCTATTCGTAGCATCTAAAATAGTGCTATTTCTAGCAAATTGCTACAGATAGCTAGCTATATTGTTTTTATGCTAAGATGCGAAATTTGCAATAATTATAAGACATTACTTTCATCTACAGCTATTTCGACTATTAATAGCTGGACACTCTGACTTTATGTTATATTACCTGAATCATTGGCGATGGCGCGAAAAATTTAGATGCAGCAATTGAAATGCCCTCAATCAATGCTAATGCAAAAGCTCCAAAAGCTGCAGACCTTGCTGACGCACCGACACCCCCTATATTTTACAAATGATAAATTTAATAATGTTCATAATGTAACTGAATGATTCATTATCAAAAGGACAACAATGACCTCTCGCCGCCAAGACACCTCCAGTTAAGAAACCACTCGCGATTAAGTTCCATGGATCTTCCTTTTGCCTTATACCTTTCAGCGCACAGTCAAAAGTTGAAAATAAACCACCCCATACAGCAAAATTTCCACCTAATACTGGTGCACGAGCCTTCACTGCCGTGATTGCGCCAATTATACGCTCACCTATCATTAAAGATTAATAAAATAATGTAATAATAATTAAGATGGATTAAAATTGGCAAAATAGAATAGAGAGTATATCGATAATTTTTACGTGTGGTCAAGACACATAAGAAGAAAAAGACGTAAGTTCTAGTCATGCAGCTTACCTTTGGTGAATTTTTTGCACCTTTTACAAAATGCCATATACCACTACCTATAGCGCCCATAGCAAACGCGCCTCCTGTATCGTTTAAAATTACCCATGGACTAAAGTGTAATTGTATTTAGTATCGAGCAATCGCAAAAAGTTATGCCACACACATAGCTAAAAAAAAATGTATCTTACCAAGGATCACGAGTGTAGTCTCCATAGCGTGACATTATTATTATATAAATATAAAAATTATTACGAATGTGTTTTAGAAAGCTAATTAACCGCGATATAAGTAAAAAAAAAAAAAAAAGGAAATTAAGGCAATTAAAAAAATAAAATATTATCGTTATATAATACACACTCGTAATTTTCTGTGGATTTGAATACAGCAAGTATGGAGAGTATTTTAGAACAACAATGAAAAGCCCACGAAGAAATAGAGCGGTTAGAACAGGCTATTGTTGATCAATTCATGAACGATCCGAAATCTGAGAGTTATGAACAAATTATTGTTTTATGATTCTTGGGAGTTAATAGATTCTCTTTTGTACCTGTAGCACAAGGAAAGATTGGCCCGTGAGCATAGAGTTAGCGATTTTCTTGATAGGATCAGTTCGAGAAGCAAATTTTTATATGAACTTTATATTGA